CTTTTGTTTCCCTTGCCTGGGGAGATATGTTCATGAAGAAGTTGCTCATATTTATGTCCAGGAGAGTTTTGCCTATGTTTTCATCTAAGAGTTTTATGGTTTCATGACTTACATTCAAGTCTTTGATCCATTTTGAGTTTACTTTTGTGTATGGGGTTAGACAGTGATCCAGTTTCATTCTCTTACATGTAGCCGTCCAGTTTTGCCAACACCAGTTGTTGAAGGGGCTGTCATTTCCCCAATGTATATTCATGGCTCCTTTATCATATATTAATTGACCATACATGTTTGGGTTAATATCTGGACTCTCTATTCTGTTCCACTGGTCTATGGGTCTGTCTGTTCTTGTGCCAGTACCAAATTGTCTTGATTACTGTGGCTTTGTAGTAGAGCTTGAAGTTGGGATGCGAGATACCCCCTGCTTTATTCTTCCTTCTCAGGATTGCTTTGGCTATTCAGGGTCTTTTGTAGTCCCATATGAATTTTAGAACTATTTGTTCCAGTTTGTTGAAGAATGCTGTCAGTATTTTGATAGAGATTGCAGTGAATCTGTAAACTGCTTTAGGCAGGATGGCCATTTTGACAATATTAATTCTTCCTATCGAAGAGCATGGGATGAATTTCCATTTGTTAGTGTCCTCTTTAATTTCTCTTAAGAGTATCATGTAGTTTTCTGGGTATAGATCTTTCACTTCCTTGGTTAGGTTTATTTCTAGGTAATTTATTCTTTTTGATGCAATTGTGAATGGAATTGTTTTCCTTATTTCTCTTTCTGGTAGTTCATCGTTAGTGTATAGGAATACAACAGATTTCTATGTATTAATTTTGTATCCTGCAACTTTGCTGAATTCAGATATTAGTTCTAGTAGTTTTAGAGTGGATTCTTTAGAGTTTTTTATATACAATATCATGTCATCTGCAACAGGAACAGTTTGGCTTCTTCCTTATGAATCTGGGTGCCTTTTATTTCTTTGTGTTGTCTGATTGCCATGGCTAGGGCCTCTAGTACTATTTTGAATAGAAGCAGGGAGTGGGCATCCTTGTCTTGTTCCTGATCTTAGGGGAAAAGCTTTCACCTTCTCACTGTTAAGTATGATGTTGGCTGTGGGTTTGTCATATATGGCCTTTATTATGTTGAGGTACTTGCCCTCTGTATCCATTTACCAAGTTGAGAGTTTTTATCATTGAAGGGATGTTGAATTTTGTTGAATGCTTTTCCAGCATCTATGGAGATTATCATGTGGTTTTTGTCCTTTTTGTTGATGTAGTGGATGATGTTGATGGATTTTCGAATGTTGTACCATCCTTGCATCCCTGTGATGAATCCCACTTGATTATGGTGTATGACTGTCTCGACGTATTTTTTAATTCAGTTTGCTAATATTCTGTTGAGTATTTTTGCATCTGTGTTCATCAGGGATATTCAAAGAATAGCTTTCTAAAAAACATAACGACAATACCATTATCATGTAATACCCACAACATACCAAATTTCTTAATTAGCTTGAATAATATTTTTATAGTAATTTCATTCAAATCAGGAGCCAAATGAAATCTACACACAGCATTTGATTGAAAGGACTCTGAATAACTTTTACTCTGTAACATTTCTTCTCTCTCTGCTTTTATGCCTTTCACTCAAGGAAGAGGAGAAATGAGGTATTCATCCTGTAGAATAACAGCCTACATTCTGGATTTGGCTGATTGTTTCCTCCTGGTGTTATTTAACTTGTTCCTCTATTTCCTGTAAACTACATTAGATTCTTGCTAAACTTTTTTTTTTTTGGCTAGAAAATTTCACAAGAGATGCTGTATACTTTCTGATGTACTACATCATGAGACACATGATGTCTGATGTCTCACTTTTAAGATGTAAAAATTGATAATGGGTTCAGGTGTTATCAGCATGGTCTATCAAGGGTTCCTGTCAACCTTTCCCCTAAGAGTTGATGGTGGTTGCCTAGATTCTTTATTTCATTAGGTGTTCCAATGTGGTGGTTTTCTAATTCTATCATTCTTTCTGTCTTTATTAGCTGGAATTCTTCTATAAAAATCTCTTTACCATCTCTTTGGTTGCTCTGAAATAATTCATACCAGAAAGACAGGTTAAGTGCTTGGTTATTTCCCTTTATTCATTTTTAACTCAATTTAATCCACTGAAGTCATTGTTTTTTGATTCTCAAATTGTCCCCTCCTTGGCCAGTGGAAACCCCTCCAAGTTGGCTTCTGTGTCATTTTGAGCTGACTCAGTAACGGTTGATATTACCCTTGCCTTTGAGAACAAATGTCCATAGCTTCTTTCTTATGTTTAACTAGATTTGGAAAACCTCCTCTTTCTCTTTTTGCCTCTCCATGACAAGTAATGGTTTACACTAGTTGTATTAATTAGGAATGCTTTCAGCTATATGTAAGCATAATGGATAGTTTCTGATTTTTCACAGAATGCAAAGTCTGGAGCAGACAGCTGTTGGCATTTTTCAGCAGCTCATGAGGCCCAGAGCCAGCACTGCAGTGATTCTCTTGGCCTCTATTTCATGCCTGCAAGATGGCAGCTCCTATTCCAGGCATCAGGCCCAATCAGGGCAGGAAGAGAGGGGAAGGCCAGAGCCAGCTGCAGCTGTCCCTTTGTATCAGAAAAGCAAGCTCCCTCTACAGCCTCCACTTAAGAATTCCACCCAGACCCTACTGGCCAGACTGGATCATATGGCTGCCCTTACTTGCAAGGGAGGCTGGGATGGTGAGCAGTTAGTTCTGCTGGACTCTATAGTCCAGGCAAACAGTGGAGTGGAGGCTGAGATTGAAGGCAGGACTACCATTTCTGGAAGAGTGGTATTGAGTCATGAATCAGCTTTTTCTATCTTGCTTTTATTTTTATAAAATGTCTGACACTCTTTGATTTTGAAGCAGGGTGGGTTGTTAAAAAGAATTGTGAGCTGGAAATGAGTAAAGCTTTATTTGCAAGACTGCCCTCAGGAAATAAGCATCAGCTGTTTTGACATCCGTGCCCTGATGGCTCAGCTCCACTCTGTTCAGTTATCAGATGCCAACTCCAGCTGCAGGGCCTGTGCTGCCACGTGTTCTATCTCCTTCTGTAAGGGGACAGACCAATCTCACCTTCATCAAGATAGATGCCTCATCTGAGCTCTAGTGATCCACAGGATGCCAGAATGCCTCGTGGCCTGTTTCGCCAGAGGCTGCCCGACCTTATGGCCTCACTTATGGCCAAGAGCAGCACTGACATTCGGCCAGTACTGTGCACTGACATTAAAACACTGAGCTGACTCTACACCAAGGAACACACAGCTGCTGCCCAGAACTGCAGAGTGCTGCTGCCTTGGTCCTCCAGCTTCTCTTTGAAGACCCAGCCCCACCTGAGACCTCCTCACAACCAGCAACGGAAGGCTAAGGCTGGCCTAGCAGGGGCCCCGGAAGCATGAGGGCCATCCGTCCTGCGTCCATACATTTAGGGGTCACGTGGCTTTAATTTAAAACTACTTCTACTGTGAGAAAGAACACTTGTTACTGCTTTTACAGATCACTTCTCTTGACTGTCCATGGCTGAAGGACAAATGGGTAAAGATAACTAACTCAAGGAATGGAGGTGGGTTAATTCCATCACTGATAGTCTTGGCTTCCCCAAGGCTAATTAATAAGTCCCCTGTTAAAAAGTTTGAGCTGTTCTGATACTGGATTTTTTTTTCTTTAACATTCATGCTACAAGTGAAAGAAGCCAGACACAAAAGACTACACATTGCACGACTCCATTTATGTGACTCCATTTCCTCTAGGAAAAGCAAATCTACAGAGATGGAAAACAGATAACTGGTTGATGAGGACTTGGAGGGTGAGTAATAGCAATGAGAGAACTTTTTGGGAGTGACAGGAATATTCTAAAAGTGGATTACAGTGATAGTTGCACAATTTTTTACATTTCCTAACAATCAATGAATCACCATGGGGTGAACTTTATAGTATGTAAATTAGACCCCAATAAAACAGTTAAACTAAAGAATTAAATTTCCCAATTTAAAAATGTTCACAACTAATTCAAATTTTTTTTTCTAATTCAAGTTCTTAAAGGACCTAAAAGGAAAAACAAATACCCCGTCTGTGGCACATGGACTTGGGCTGCCTACTTAAAACCTTAGTGCTATGTGGCATGAATAGAAATTTGAATGAAATAAAATCCTTGTCTTCTAGGAGTTGAGATCCAATGGGAGAAAATGGAACAGTAAACAGTTACAAAACTACGATAAAACCCCATGATAAGTAGGATGTGCAGGAAGGTCAAGAAGTCCTGGCTGTGACTGGGCAGGGATGGGGCACCACAGAGGAGGCTAGACACTGGAGTCTGGTTTGGAAGGGTAAGTGGAGAAAAGGGGTGGGTGACATTTCAAGGCAGAGGAACAGAATGGGCAAAGGCTTGGAGGTGTGAAAAAGCAATTTCTTTTCTGAGAACTGAGAAGGTTGGAGTCATGACAAGAGGATAGAAAGAGTGGGCAAGCAAGGCAGAGTCAAGATCATGAAGAGCTTGGTGGGCCATGTTAAAGTCTTTGGAAAAGGAATTAAGCAGGACGTGTTTCTAAAGGAACATGGACATGCTTCTTTTGACCTAAATTAAACTTTGTATATCTTGGCAATATCACATTGCAATCATTTAAAAATATTTATTAATATACTGTTTACCATGTACCAGGCACTGTTTTAATACTTTATATATACTCAATCCTGTCAGCAGTGGTTCTCAAACTCTAACCTGCATCAGAATCACATGGAAATCTTCTTAAAACGTAGACACCATAGTTTCTGATTTAGTAGATCTGAAGTGGAGCCCAACACTTTGCATTTCAATTCTCAGGGGAAGCTGATGCTGCTGGTCCAGGAAGTACACTTTGAGAACCACTGCTTTATACCAACTTGATAAGAAAGATGTCATTATCATCACCATCAGTCCCATTATACAGAAGAGGAAACAAACAGAAGGTTAAGCAACCTACCTAAGGCCACATGGCTTTCTGGAACGTGGTTGGGATTCAATGCTGGGCAATGTCTTCCGTGTCTTCTAGTTCACTAGTTGCAAACAAGTAGTTAAAGGCTGGCATTTTCATCCTTGTCTGCAACTATCAAAAACATATTACACACACGTACACTTACACACACACTGGCTTTAACTGGCATCTGAGATAAAAGAGTTAGAGATGCTAACCAAGGGGTAGTGAGGGAAAGCCCCAAGGCAGATTGGAAAAGGGGTTTCTTCATTAACAACAAATATATTTGCTTAAACTCAAAATTATATATTAATTTGTACTTGAATATTTTAAAATATTGCCTAAGCATAATCATATCATGTTACCAAATTTACGGTGTGGAACTGAAAATGGGTCATGTTCTTGCCAGCAGCACTCCAGCTTCCCAAGAAACACTGGGGTGGAATAAATGATTTACCACGTGGCCAGTACTATATCCCTGTCTCTGGAAGAGAGTTGGGGCTGACTTTATTTAAATCAATTTACTATTCTGTTCCTTTTCAATTTAGTGTTTGCTATTTTTATGCCATTGTTTTCCTTACAGAATTTATTCAAAACCTGAGTTACACAGCAACAATATAAATACTGTTTTCCAAGGGCTTATCTGTTGTGCCCATTGTTTTGTAGTTACTGTTCTATGTCAGGGGCTACAGACCTGGCAGTGGAGGCCTCAACCAGTGGAATTCCCTTGGGGGATCATTAAAGTTGGTATATTTTTTCCCTTTTCTTAGCTATAGGGTTCCCTGAATAGTGGTATCTCTCTGAAGGAAAAAGTTCATGACCTTCCAGCTTTCAGGCAACAAGGAAATGAATTCCACAAACCAAATTAAGAGCTCTTGCTTAACATCCTGCTGTCAGTGTCACAGTGAGATTATACTTTATGGTCTTTCTAAGTCAGAGTGATCCCAGATTTGGGGACTTGACTCAGCCCTGAGGGGCCCAGGCCCAGTCTGAGGCTCTCCCCAGCCAATGATCCATCACCCCATGCTAGAGCATTAGGGCAACTGGCAGTCCCCCTTTAACAGAAAACCTTTTGTGTTATTACCCTAGGGGTTTGCACCTCCCAACAGTCCTACTCTTCTCAATTATCTTCAGACATACTAAACTGATGATGTGGAGAGAGTCTGAAAGAAAACCTTCTGACATTTGCAGGTCAACAGAGACACTGGCTAAAGCAATCTAGACTTCTCTGTCCAGTCAATTTAATCGAACATGGAGGAGCATCTTAGCAACTTTTTTTTTCTTGCTTGTGTTCTTCTTTGCTAGGCGTCCTTTATTGGAGGCAGCGGGTGGGGTGGGGTGTGTGTGCAGAGAAGGGAAACACAGTAAGGGAAAAGCAGGCTGGAGAAACCTGGCACCTGGCTAGTTGGTGCTCCCTTCCAGAAACCCCCAGGAGATGACCTTCATTGAGCCCCAAGCTTCCCAAGGTGGAAGTCAGGAGTTGCCTGCCCACTCCCCGCTAGGGTATGCCCCTTTTCCCGAATCATCCGGCCTAGTGACCATGCGGCTTAACTATCCAATACTACGGCTAATGCCTTTTGAGGCCTTGACTTAATATACTTTAATACTTTTCACTACTTTTGCTTGTTCGACGCTGTGTCCAGAGCTGGCAACTTGGCCAGGCCAGTGTCTCCCGCTGATCTTTACAGCCAGCGCTGCCTTCAGCCAGCGCTTCTTTCTTTTTGATCAAATAGCAACAAAATCAGCAAAATTCCTTTAAATTGGGTTTCCGGAGCTAAGAAACTACAGGGGGGAAAAATGCATGTTCATGTTTATGACTGTCTGTTTGATTTTTTTCCCTCTCCGTACTTAAACCTGGGCGAGAGATGGGGTGAACCTTTTTGAAAGTGTGCAGTGCGTGCAGCCCTGGGACCCCGACCCCAGGACGCCAAGCCGAGTGCGTGCGCGGCCCCTTCCTTCCGATTGCCCCCAACAGCTCGCGCTAACCTTCTCAGCTATTGCCTCGTGTTCCTACTCCACAGCCGCCCCACATCCTGTTCGGTGCCTCGCCCGCTCCCTACCGTCAGCCGCCGCCCAGCCTCGCCAGGGTCGGGACGGGAGACGAGCCCCAGACGCCCTCCAGCACACCCGCCGGCGCCCGCAGGTGCTCCCTGCCCCCGCGGCCCCGCGCCCAGGTGCCGCGTCACAGTGACGCACACCCCGCGCAGGCGCAGTCGGACTCCACCCCTCCGCGCCGGCCGCCTGTCCTGTACTATGACTCGCGCTGGGTGTGGGGTTCTGGCGGCCGGGAGGCAGTCGTCGGCGCCGCGGCCGTTGCAGACGGCTACCTGCTTGCCGGCTGAGGTAGGGGCGAGCGCGGGGCGCGGTCGGGCGTGGCGGCCGGGCGGCGGCGCGGGGCCGGCCTCCGTCTAGTGGCCTCCGCCGTTGCCAGGCTGGGGGCCGGGGTCGGGGCGCCCGCCGCAGGAGGAAAGTAAGTTGCGCGCCCCGCGCTCCCCGCGCCGGCCGCAGCGCGGGCCCGGGAGGACCCGGGGCCGGGGCTGCGGCGGCCGAGACCCGGCGAGGCGGCGGCGCGGCCTGGACGCGGGGCGGCGGCGGGGCCCGGGCGGGAGCCGTCACTGCGGCGGCCGGCCGCGGGCACCCGGAGGCCCTGCCCTTGCGGCCGGATTGCGGCAGCTCGGGAGGCACCCGCATCTCCGCGCCCCGCCCTGGAGCGGGCCGAGTGCGGCGCCGCTGAGCTCAGCGCCGGCCGGGCTCCCTGCGCCCAGGTTCTCTCGTGGGGTGTGTATTCTCCGATGTGTTTTCCCTGTTCAAACCAATCTAGAAATCTGGCCGCAGCAAGGGAAGGTCCTTGGTAATGCTTCAGCCTTACAATAGAATGGGGGTATTGTTGTCTAGAGAAGGGGCATCGGGGTAAGGAAGGAGGAGCAGTGCTGTTCCCCGAGGGAGAGCTAGAATTTTGCAGATTGGCAAACCTCCGTTCTTTAAGTCATCGCCTGTTGATTTCTTTCTGGACCGTTTTGCATAAACCTTGCTGTCTGTTACTTGGACTTGGTATCCAGCAAAGTGACAGCCCTTTATTCTGGGGGTCCTTGGAGCTGTGCTTTTCTTAGCAACTGGGTCAGATACAATCCAATAGCTTCGTAGGGAGTTCGGTTCAAGTCCAGTAGCTGGGGGGAATATAGCAGCAGGGTTTTTAAATCTATAGACGACTGACGATATAGGACCTTCCGAACTCTTAAGTTACTTTTTTTCCTCTTCCATTTAATTGAGTGCATTACTCAAAGACTTAACGCGTTTCACATTTTAGCAGGGTTTAAGGCGAAGCATGATGATGGAACTGCAAATGTTGGGTATCCTGCTGAATTTCTACCGAATTCTTATAAAATACCAGCTACCTCAGTTTGGATTCCTTGTCCAGGTTTGGGGTGCTATGTCTCAAATCAGTCTTATTGTATCAGAATGTGTATCAGTGTACTTTAAAGCCTGGAGTTGTCACGCTTATGTAATCAACTTGTTAATTTATAATTCTGTTACATTGCTTTACAGATTTATAAAATGATTCCCTTAAGGAAATCTGTCTTCAACGTCTGCTTAAATATTTGTCTTGAAATTGGATTCTTGAAGACGAATGTACTGTACAAGTGGTGATTAAAGCATACTAATTAGACAAGCTTCCTTAAAGAACCATATTGATTCTTTTATCTGATTGTCCCTGCTAGGAAAACAGATGACATTCCCATTTTGCAGTACTAGTAATGAGAAAAATTATGTGACATTCCCAAGGTCACATATTGAAGCAGTGTAGTGATTGAAAATCAAGTGCATGGTGCTAACTTTTCTTAAAACTCCATCTTGAAAGCTTTCCAGGCTGGGAACTTATTGAGTGTCACCTTTCTGTTTTTTAAATTTGCACAATCTGTTTTTATTGTTTTATTTTTGTGTGCAAAAATTACTCTATTTTTTTATTATTCAGAATTTTTCTGCCTTTTTTCAGTAAGATCCATCAGTTTAAAATATATGAGAACTCAGAAGTTATACTGATTTTTATTTTTCTAGAACAGAAGCTCAGATTCAGTCTTTATGTTCAGATTTATTCCCATAGTCCTAAAACAAAGGCTTTTACATGTCGTTATTAAAATTGAAGGGCTTTTGTGATATTTTTGCTGGTCACAGGAAGTACTACTATTCATCTAAACTTTACTATGGGTGTTTTTCTCATATAGAAAGTGAAACTAAATAGAAAAAAAGCTATTTATTTTTGGAGATAATTGAGCAGCGATGGTTCTAAGCACTTGTATAAAAAAGGCATGATTTCTTCCCTGTAGCATCTTGTCTGAGCCTAAGAGCTTATTACACTGCCCAGGAAGAAAAGGGTACAAGTGAACTTTCTATGTAGTCAGAATTTTAGAAATTAAAAACAAATATGAAGAACTCAAAAGACTCAATTTTACTGCATGCCAGCTGTTCGCTTAACAACCAATAGAGAGTTTTTAGCGAAATGCTTTATAAGAAAACTGTTACTTAGCATTTAGTTACTTCCCAGTGTGCATGTACACACAGGTAAAAAAAGCAACTGAGGTGGAAAAGTTGAGTGGATTCTAGCAGTTTTGAAGGTAAACTTAACCAATGATTACTTATTCATGGAGACTTTGTGTATGTATTTTTGGGGCCCTAGGTTAGAGGATAGCAATAGAAAAATGAGTAAAAACCAGTTCCTGCCTTTAGATGTTTACAGGCTGTTGGGGACACCCAGGTAAACAGTAATAATAGGATCCAACAAGTGCAGTTTTGAGGCATAGGCAAAATTCTACAGAAGCACAGAGATGGGGGCAAGGGACAGTCTGATTCAGAAATGCTCCACAGAGGAGGTGATAGTTGAACTGGTCTTGAAGGTAGGTAGAGTTTCTGTGCAGAGAACAGGGGAAAGGGTTCAGAGTATTCAGGGAGGATGAGAAGACAAGGTCAAGTGGTAGAGGAAGAACTTAAATTCAAGTTGGTGAACAGGAGTTGAGAAGATAAAGACAGTGCAGCTGTTTTGTTTTTTAATAGTATGAAAAGGAAAGGGGAGGCATGAGGCAGTAACTTTGGGCACCGTGGGAGAAGTGTTTTGACATTTTGTTTTATTTGGCTCTTAATAGCCTCACCAGTGAGTCGTGGAAGTGTGTTGTCTGCTCTGGATGATCTGGAGCTGTTACTCACACTGTGGAACATTTCCTCATCTCTCTTTCTGTACATCTGCTTTGAGTTGAGGCCTTATATCCCATGGGAAAGCATTTCTTGCTGGTGGTAGGGGAGGAAGCTCTTTAAAGAGGATTCCTCTCTACCTTCCCTGAACACTTATTTCCCTGCTGTCAGTTCCAGAGCCACTTGAGAGTCTGCTTTGGCACCTCCAGCATTTGGCCTCTGCTCGTGTAGTCTCTTCCATGACAAATCAGGGCTCTTTCATTCTCCTTGTGTTGAACCCTCCAAACTGCTGCTGTGTGGCTGCTCAGCAGTTACTGCAAAATCAGAGGGTATTATCGTCTAAGCACCTTGCTGTTTTAAGTTCTGGAGTGTCTGCAGGCTCAAAGTAAGTTTGGGTCGGTCTGTCTGTCTATATACATACTTCTTCAGCTATGTATTGGCTTGGAAGTATAACGCAGGTTATGAAATCAATGACCCAGAAGTGTGCATTACAGGTCATGTCACTGGTCACATCAGAGCCTCATGAGACCTCATTTCTCAGGTGCTGACATGCAGTTATCTTCCTCAGACTCAAAAGACCTCAGCTCCTGGAAGGCAGAGGCTACTTATTTGATTTTTACATTTCCAGACCCTTGTAATGCTTCATGCATAGTCAGTGTACCGAAGAAGTGTCTTGATGAAGAAAGCTTAAAAATCTAAACTTTAGTTTATTGATTTTATCAGCCTATTAATAGAAACCATACTCCTTTCAATATAGCTGGACTCGATTCAAATGGTTTCCCCTTCATGGAATTTCAGAACCAGAAGCAAATCTTCCACTCTATAGTAGCATGTAGTAGATGCTCAGGAAATGTTTGTTCCTGTCCTGTATTTCTACTCCGAGTGAATGGTACCACTGGCTACCAGTCTTTACTAGAATCATTCAAGATTTCCCTCTTTGTTTTGCCCCTGTGCATTGAGCTCTTGAAACCTACTTCGTAAATGTGTCTCCTCTGTAACATCCTCATCATCACTGCCCTCCCTCACAGGGTGCCCTCACTTATAAGCTTTTCAGTAGTGATGATCTACCTGGAGATGTTGTCAGTGGTCTGTTGACCAGACTCCCAGCTCTGGTCCTGCCCTTGCAGTCTGATTGTGACTTTTCTGCCACTGTGGTTTGTTTAACTGTCATCTCTGATTGCCTTCCCCTTCTCAGGATTCTTCTTTACTTTTTAGTGCCAGTTTTTATTTGTTCATTTAATAAATGTATCCACTGCACTATGGTGCTGCTGCTCCCATGCTCCCATTTGCTGAATAAATGAATTTTGATCATTAAAAAGTTTTGTATTTTGGGTGAATGCTGTACTCAGCAGGCCCTGAGATACAGAGCTGAGTAAAATGGACATGGGCCTAACATGGACTGAATTTATTATTGAGTTGAATGTGGTGGCTCAGATTGTTAATCACAGAATGGCACAAATAATTATATAACCACAGTTGTGTTAAGGGCCATAATGGAAAAAAATGTGTGCTTTGAGGTCAGAGGTGTGCAGGGGTATGGGGAAGAAGACGACCTTTAAGCTGGACCCTAAAGCATGCTAATGGCTAGTCAGACCTGAGGAATAGCAGCTGATCTGCGTGGAATACAAGGCCCTTTGGAGATCGGACCCTTGCCTACCTGTCTGACCTTGTCACCTACAGTCTGCATGTATTATTGTCCTAGCACAGTAAGCTCTCAGGTCTCTTCAGGAAAGCTTCTTTCCCACCATCACCAATTTTGATTCTTAGCTCAAACAAAAAATGAATTCCTCTGAGATGCATCCTATGAACTTTCCAAGGCAGATTTATGGGAAACAAACAGTTCTTCTGGCTTGCCTGTCCCTGTAAGGGATTGAAAAGGACTTGAGGCTGGGGTCTTCCTAGTATGTGCAGTTGGAGACATTGAGGGGCAGTTTGTTGGGCCAGTTAGGGGTGAGGGTACTGATATAAAAATAAAAAGGGGAACTAAGTATACAATCCCTCTCAAATATAAAACTCCTGGGATAGAGTCCAATGCTGAAGTCAGGGAAGAAAATTATTGGGTGATTTTGATCCCACTCACACTTTGCTAATATATATTATCCCGTTTAGCTTTTGTAATCACTGTCCAAGGCTGTGATTATCTTTTTGTAGATAAGGAC